TGCCATAGATCGTCGTATTCTCAAACTATGACGCGTCTTCGTGGAAAATTTCTTCTCGCCGGAGCTTGCAATTCTTCGATGAGTCGACGTCTCTCGCAGCTAATTTTTTTCTTTTTGCTGGATCTCTTTTTCATGATTCGACGCGTAATACAAAGGGCAAATGTATTTTTTTCTCGCTGATACCACTCGACTGACTCGTTTCGTCGATACGCGATTTAATTTATAATAAGATCGGCTTCGTGAAGTTTTTCGATAATCGACAGCATCTCGTTATCATGAGCTTGTTGCCCGTTAGGTGCAAAACGTCGAATAATCGTAGACGATCCATCAGCTCGTTGGGATCGTCCCAATGCACGTAATCGATCACGTTGTCGTTCAATGTCATTGCGTGAGATAATTCCTTTCCAGATTTCTTCTTCTGTTTCTTGGGTGTGATCGACATCAACGACGCGATTACGTATTTGTACTTGTATCCCCTCAATAATCGGCCGTGCGAATGATGCTTGTATTTGTGCGCGTTCGTCGCCAACAGCATGCTCTTGTACTTGTTCATATCGTCTTCCGTGTAGAGGAGATCGTCGGGAATTCTTATGAAAATTAATTCGTAAAGACCGGGTGTATCGTACGTCGATAAATATGTTGTCCGCATCATCCACGTCGAAACGTTTATTGCCAAACATCAATCCATCCTTGTGTAGGTATAACCTATCCCGCTCTTCTGTTTATCTCGCGCTCTCCTCAGAACAGCCTCGACATATTTTTGACCCAGCGGGCCCAAGCCGGTTTACGATGCCTCTCGACCTTCCGACGTTTGCAATCGATTTTGAACCTTTGTTGCTAGCGAGTCGTTTCGAAAACATTCTCCAACGATCTATCGTCGGTATGATCATCGTACGGGGGGGGGGGGGGAGTGGAGGTTATCGGCTGTACACGATCATGTGATCGATCATCAGATTTACGCGGGGTCGCGGAACGCGGGTCGTTCAAACGTCTCACTCGCTTTCTCCCCCTTTTCCTCTTCCTCCTCCTCTTCTTCTTCTTCCTTCCTTTCGCGCTTGGAGGCAGACGCTGCGTCATCGTCGCGCGACTGTCTCTTTATCGCACGTACACCGGGGATTTCAACGATCTGTCGCAGCGATTTGATAATAGGCTTAAAATGCCTGTCCAATGCCATGTCCTCTTCGATTCTACCGATTTTCAGAGCGTGATGTTTCTTGCGGATCGACTCGCTCGTCTTCTCGATCTCCTTCGCGATTTTTCACGCTCGCGCACATCAGTACCATGTTCGTTTCTGGTACAGACTAGTTACGTTACAGTATCGCGAACTCGTTAAATCCCTTTCTGTATCTCTCGTCTTTAAACACACTATCCTTGTCTATTACTAAAAATCCATATTTTTTTTGCCAACAGTCGGCACAACGCGCAAAATTCATCGTACGACATGTCGGTATTCACGTGATCGTTGTAAACGTGTTTCAAGTTGGTACAATCCTGTTTGAACAGGATCAGCAGGTTCGCGTTGTCGCTTATCAGATGTTTAGATATCCTCGCGTACGTCTGACAGAGATAGAAACAGTCAATGTTTGCATGGCGACTCGAAAAGTATTCTCTCACCTTATCCTGCTTGTCGCATGCCACGTCATCAAAGATAAAAATAGAATTTGGTTCGATGGAACGACGTCGCTTACTGGAAAACGTAACCGATTTCATCGATAGACGTAAATAAATTTTCGAGATATCAATCACTTTGGCTGTTGCAGTGATTTCGAGTAGGTGTACACGTTCTCGAAACGTACGTCGTTTGGACTCTCGAGAAAACTTATGAGAATGTTGGTTTTATCACAATTCGACAGGCCGCAAATGATCGCGCGTATAGTACTCGGCAGCATTTCGCCGAAAGCATTTCGCAGCGTGCTTGCGCTTCTCCGCGCTGGCTCATCATTTGCGATTTCGCGTCACAGTTTGTGACGCGTATCGTAAACGGTTGCAGCATGAATTTCATGCTCACACTAAAGGCTACGCGCTCTCGAACGATTATTTAAAGGCGCGCGAATCCACGAATCGTACAATAGCAAAATGTATCTCGCGCTGAGTCATTCTTCCGATATTCGAGACTTGAGCGCCGAGCAGTGTAATATATACCGAAGGTCGTACTCTTACGCGTGTACGGTGACTATATCAAACATATCTGGGATAAGCTTCCGGAACACTTGAGTGAAGGAACGATTCGGAGGTTCGAACTTATCGTCGCTGCGACGAACACTACAATCAGCCGTAGCAGCGGACACATATCGACGGTCCCATATCGAAGATAAAAAACTGTAGCGAATGTCGGCGTCGCGCGGCGGTCTACTAAATCGAGTGATAAACGCGTTTCCTTTTGAATTACATATTCCGGGCTACCAGTTTTGCGGTCCGGACACTTGTTACGAAACGATTAATCAGGTGACGCGGGCATAAATCCGCTAGACGCGGCGTGCCGAGAACACGACATTGCGAATTCTCGGAGTAACGGTCTCACTGATAGACACACGGCAGACAAGATACTCGCCGATAAAGCGCTAGGACGCGTCGTTGCGAGAGATTCGGCTCTGAGTCGCCGCAGCTGCTGTCTGGGCAGCGATGAAAGCCAAGACCAAGATCGGCATGGGCATGAAACCCAAGAAGATGACGAGGAAAAAGGCGACGAAAAATCGGATATTTCCGAAATGAGGCGGTGCGTTACCATTTTTACCAATGTTGGCCGCACTCGGGTCCTTGATCAGCGGAGCAGCCAGAGTGGCGAAAGCGGTAAACGACAGCAAAGCCGCGCAACGTCAGCACAAAGAGCTGCAACGTCACGATCGCGTGATGGAACAGAGTTGCGGACCGTATTGGCCTATACAAACGTGGACAAGGCGTAGCTGCAAAGAAAAAAAAAACCGTCAAAAAGACGATAAAAATGCCATCTGGCGCAATTACTAATGTACAATTGAACGAGCTCGCGAGACATATACGCGTATCATACTTTAGAGGCGTTTTCATGTATAACACATTACCGATGAGCGGCGCGCGCCGAAACGAAAGCGATATCGTGAATCTGGACGATGCGACGGAGCCTGGTACTCACTGTGTAGCGTATTCGAAGAGAAACAATTGCGTCGTACAGTTTCGGTAATCTTCGAGCGCCCAAGGAACTGGTGCGATATTTCGGGAACGGTGCTACGACGATAGAGTACAATTGCACGTCCTATCAGACGTACGATCAGAGTTTCTGCGGACAGATATGTCTGTGGTTTTTACAAACGGTAGACACGCGTGAATTTAAAAAGCTCGACGAGTTGCTGTGAAATCTTAGTCGAACGCTTTTTCCGTCATGTCGTTAACGCTTATGCTAAACGAAAAGAGCACCGTCCTCGCAGCGAATTATTTCTCCGCTATAGATTTGAGTGATAGAGATTACGAGCTCGGTCTGGCGATTTTTGAGACTTACCACACGATACCAAATGTGAACAAATCAAATAACAAATTTTATTTCGCCAAAAACGATGCAGAAATTACAATTTCCGAGGGTTCGAAGTGCGAGACATAAATGAATTTCTGACACGCGCGATTTTACGAAAACGTCCGCACCGCGACGCACTTGAAACCGTTAATGTAGTGCGTGGTGACAATAACAATGACACCGATGATGATAATGGCAAGAGTGGAGAATATCCGATTACGCTCCGTGCAAACTACAACATGATGAGATGCGAGATTAGATATGCGTACAGAATAAACTTTGGCAAGCCCAACAGCATTGGATCGCTGCTGGGATTTTCGTCAAAGCGTATACTGCGGCCGCGAAGGTGGCACGAATCAAATCAACATAATGAATGTTGATCAACATAATGATTGTAAACATTATCCGCGTAGAGTATAACGTGACCGTAGGCGCGTACAGCAACGGCAAAAGCGCGCACACGATACATGAATTTTCGTTGAGCTTGCCACCAAGATATAAGATATTGGAGAGGCCGGCACAAATCATTTACCTGCCGATCATCGCACGGAGCATTTCGGATCTAATGATACGCATCGTCGATCAGAACGAACGATTGCTCGATTTTCGAGGAGAAGAGATCACCATTAGATTGCACATACATATGACGGCGACAGTGATAACGTGAGATGCTCGTGCTGAACAAAACTGTACGTGTGAGTCTCATTCTTGACGATGTGATCGTCGAAGATTGGCTCGTCTTCAATGTTTAGGATGTGTACGCAGAGAGATAACGCATTTTTTACAAGACCGGTGACGTCACAGCTCGATTCAACACTCGCTCATCCAGTTGCATCAGGAAGAAGAAGAAACTCAGCGCGTCGTTACATTTTTAAAGTCTTTGGGATTCACGATGCGCAACATTTGAAATGACTGATATCCTAAACATTAAAGACGAGCCGATCTTCGACGATCGCATCGTCAAGATTGAGACTCCCACGTACAGCCCGTTCGCCAACACAACGTTTGGGTACAGCGACGAAATAAGAATACCCATACAGCAACAGGATCTGTACACACTGCCGTACGAAAGCTTTCTATACGTCAAGGAAAAATTGACGAAGAACAAACGTCCAGGGTGCTCACATGGCATTGGGAAATAATTGCGTCGCGTTTATATTCGATGAGATTCGATATGAACTCAATGTTGTGGAGATTAACCGTAACAGAAATGTGGGCATAACATGCTCAAAAACTATGTAACATTTCTTTTTCCCTTCCTTTTGTAATACATATACATATATATCGTATGTATGAACGTATATATATGAACGCATATGTATGAACGTATATGTATGAACGTATATGTATGAACGTATATGTATGAACGTATATGTATGAACGTATATATATATATATATATATATATATATATATATGAATGTATAGGAGTGAACATATATGTATGTATGAATTCATATGTACGTATGTATTATATGTATGTATGTACGTATGTATGTATGTATGTATCCGAAAACATCGACGCTTCTGTTAAACGCGTCGCGACATGTTCGATCTCTCAGTACATATATGCAATATATAGACAGTGCATTAGACTTTTTTCATTCAATCGTAAGCTTCAGTTACGAGCATTAAGACATGGACCGAGTAAAAGAATATATACGCCGAAAATCAATCGAGCGAAAAATGTACGGTCCGTTGTCGTCAAGTCCATCGCCATCGAAGGAAAAAGCGAGATATTGGGAATGTCCTGGAGAAAAGATGTCAAAGTCGCCAACGTGCTCATTATCAACGTCATCGATGCCATTGAAATATAAATCATAAAGTATAAACATTAATAAACTCGCGAACAAAGAAAATACATAGAAAGACGCGATAAAATGTGTTGCGCCATGTTCGCATTTCTTAGAAAGAGGGGAGAGTTACTCCTTCTTCGATTCTAGAAGTTTTATATACATCGCAATTTATGCGTGCAATTAGTCTTGCGATACCCGCTTGTACGGTTGAAAAACGTACTTCACTAAAGACAGCAACGCATCATATGAAACGAAGAAGGAGTAACATGTAAGTTTTAACAAGTAAGTAACATGTAAGTTTCTATACAAAAGAAACGTTTTTAACATTATGTATGTACACAGCATGGAGCATTGCGAGGTGCGTTTATTGAGCAGACGTTATAATCTGACGACTACGGGCTACAAATTTTTGGAAATTAGAATCAACATTGGTCCACTGAGTTATGTGGCGATCGCCCTGGGAGATCATCGCGGACATGAACTGCTGTTGTCTCTCGAAACGTGGAAGGGCCTCTACAATAGCAATGGAATATTTACAAGATGCTGCACCAACCAATTGCTATAACCGGCGATGACTATTATTTATATTTAACCATTCAACCATTCTAGAACGTTTCTATCCAATAGAGCAGTTTTGTTTTCTTTTGAGCATTACTTTCATTTCTAACGGAAAATTGAGTGGTACTAACTTGTACTAAAATATTTCAAAGCTTCATTCACTTTTTTTCCGAAATCCTGTTTTCGAATATGGTCATCACGATTCCAAAAAAAAAAATGAAAGTCCGACTGGTTTCTACTTTTACGATTATACTCAGAGAACATGTCATTATCGCCTGTACTAGAATTAATAGTCTATGTTAATTTTTTGTATTTTTTTGATGGTCAAATAAAAGGAAAAAAATTTGAATTATTTTTTCAATCTGTTGCCATTTTGAAAATGTGCATATGATATTAATTATTCTAGTTTGGGCGAAAATTACAAGTCCATTCATTATAAGAAAAAGTTTTACTTTTGTTATCAGATCAATAATACGATCTGTATCTTGATCACCGTTTGATTGTCTTCGCGGTGCATGTCTAATTTAACGCCATTTTATTACTATTGTGTAAAAAATTAACACTACAAAAAATATTTTTTTATATGTATATTGTGCGCACTTTCTAGACTTATATTAGTTTTTGACTATACCTCAATTTTTATTTATTAAAAAAATTCTCAAAGAATTTCTTTAAAATCAACTCTCAAACGTAAAGACCCTTTGTTAAAACATCTTTGAAAGGACCATGCCATTTTTCTTTTTTTTTTCTTCAGATATCTCGCAGAATATTCGGAAAATACGTTATCCTGTCGGATAATTGACTATACAAAAAGAATTTAACGACGGATATCCAATATTCTGTATCACTTAACATATTATACGGATCATCCCTAAATAATAAATATTAACTATAAATATTATAAATTATATAAATTATAAATATTATAAATAAATATTAACTTTGTGTTAATATTCAATATCATAGTACATGTCCGGCCATTGGTACGTTTATTTTAACATTCATTTTTATATAAAAAGTGTAAATTTCAATTTCAATCACTTTTTGCAAAGACTTTATAATTAATATTTTCAAAATACTTGACCAAAATTCGCAAAAGTCGCTGAAAATCTATAATAGTGAATTTCAAACATCACATTATGTCATTTCGTCATATTCCAATTTGAAACTGTGAAGTTACATCGTTCATGCTCATCCCTTCATAGATGTTAATGCATCAAAAGTGAATCGCGAGGACATTTAGGAAAGTTGCGCCTCCGGGACCATTCAAATATTTGCATGCACATTGCGAGTACAAAGATAAAATTTTTATACGAATTTTTTTAAACACATTTACATTTTTCGACGCAGGACGCTTTGGATATGGAAGCCTGTTCTATTACGGAGGCATAGCGTCTGATTCAATCGAATTCAATCAAAATATCATAACTATTTATTGACATGCGACGCGGGTCTCTCTGAGCCAAACGGCAGTTATTTTAACTATTAGTTTTGTCATTACTCTTTTATGACGATATATGTCAAGATGAAGTTCATTGGAGGTGGAAATTTTGACCGTATGTTTATTTGATTATATTACTCAACATTTTCTTCCTTGGCAGCGTTTTCTAAAGATGATCATCTTTTATAAATATTTAACAATGAAAAGTGGTGATTATTTATTTATTTTAAATAATCGTTGTTTAGTATAATTTTTAAAACTCAAAATAAGTATTGTATGTACATGTTTTGTACAGACAATACCGAAAACATACATATGTCATCAAAGTCATTGATGAATAAGGCTTCCATTTTTTATGTTACCAAAAGGTCTTTATGTGTTTCATAAACACTATAAACACTATAAATATTTTGACGCACAATGTTAATAAAAATAGCTTACAAAATAAATGTATACACATGTATAATACTAATTCAAGAGTAGCTGCAGAAATCAGAACACTTAATACACTGACGGATAATCGTTCAGAAACACAACATATGTCGGAAAAAAACGAGGTGAAGTTTATGCCATAATTAAAAATCAAGTAAGCAAAAAAATTTGAATATGCTAACTGATGAAAAACGTATATAATCCATCCGATTATTATTCGAATTATCCTATTACGTAGTATTTTTTTGGCGCTCCGAGAGCTTCCAACGTGTCGTCTAGCAAGTTCACGTAAGCACATTTTCAATTTCTTTAAAAAAAATCATATTGATCGTTTATGCTATACAAAAAAAAAATTATTATAATTTTATATTTCATTTAAAAGTTGTTATTACAATGTGTACAGAAAATGTGATAGATAAAGAATTATACAATATTATAATGATGTAAGCATTAAAGTTGATCTATTCAAAATTTTTTTTTAAATTTAATTTAGTTTAGTGCTCTATGAAAAATAGTACGTGCTAACAGAGCAATAGATATGAACATAAAATATGATACAATAGATTAAAGCTACTTGCAAATAGTTAGGTGTCAGCAAAACTACTGTTATCAGCTTACCAGCAAGAAAAAATCGGAACTAACAAGGGACATTAAGCAACTCAAAAATTAAAAAAATTCTGAAATTTTGTGTACAAGTAAAATAATTCATCTGAAACACAAAACTATTTTTTGTTTGTGTGGAATTACAATTTTAGTAGGTATAACATCCTTTTGAAAAAAATTGATTCTTTTCCTTTTGAAGCGAATCATCGAAAATATAAGAAATATAAAAAAATTTCTGCAATAATATTTGAATCAAGAGTACTTTACGACTACAATAAAAAAATTTTTTTTATTTATACTCCCACTCGCATTCCTAATTAAAAAATGTTTTTAATTTTTATATAACGCAAATATCAAAGAGACATTTGACCCTGAAAACAATGATGTATATTATATAATAGTTATGTTCCAAAGAACCATTTTACAAATACGAACGAAAACACTTATGTATACGCGTATTCGTCTCACCGCGTTGAATGCACGAGATAGCGTCAGTGGCAAATACAATACAATCCATCAACACAGTAGTATCAATACAACAGCAACTATTAAAATATAAGCTATTTTATATAACAACAATACAATAGCAGCAGCAGCAACAGTAATAACAATGTGTCAAACTTAAAATCAGTCAAATATTTTTATGATATACATAAAGGATTGTACAAAATACTCCAGGCATGACAAAATTATTCTCCTGCACGATAATGCTCGACCACATGTTGCGGCGCCGGTCAAAACCTATTACATAATACATGGAAACACTCAATTGGGAAGTTCTACCCCACCCGCCGTATTCATCAGACATTGCCCCTTCCGATTATCATCTATTTCGATCGATGGCGCATGGCCTGTCTGAGCAGCACTTCACATCATATGAAGTTATCAAAAATTGGATCGATAATTGAATAGCCTCAAAAGATGAAGCGTTCTTTCAACGCGGTATCCGTATGCTACCAGAAAGAAAAAATAGTGGCTAGAGACAATACTTTCAATAAAACATTATGTATCGTTCTTTCACAATAAATGCTTATTTTTTGATAAAAAACGGCGGAAACTTATTTGTACACCTAATACATCCGGGGCAGTATGGGTCCCGTGAGGAACACTCGACTGTCGGTGCCATCCGTTAGGTTCGGGATCCATAGTGGGCGAGAGAAGAGTGGCGCTGGTGGCATCAATCGTCAATACCTTCAATATCCTCCCCTGGTGCAGGCGCTAGTCTACCATACTTGCTTACCTTGTCGTCATAATGAGGATTACTTCCGGCAGAAATATTGATATGTCAGTGCTCGGCCTTCTGCTCTGGGACATCGCTTATGATGTAATACTCCGCCAAGCTCTCCCGCTGAAGTATCATGTTTGTTATGCGAATGATATTCTTGTCATCGCGGGAGGGCGCGACTGGTGGGAAGCCATCACAGCTAATATCTGCTGTAACAATCGTGATCGGTTCGTGAGGGAGTTCGGGCTGGAGGTGGCGCAACATAAGACAGAGACAATCTTTGCCTATGAGGGCGCAAGACTCTCCACCTCCAGTGGAAATCAAAGTGGGGACGACGACTATTGTGGTGGGGTCACAAATGAAATATCCTTATCATAGACGGTCTAGTTGGGAACGCTCATTTTGAGCGGCTGACTCCTATATTAGGCAAGCAGGCTGATGCCCTTGTTGACATCATACCCAACCTGCACGGCCCTGGGATAAACAGTACAGCGACCGTCCTGGCGGCGCTCTTTTAGTTCCGGGGCGCCTCCTGGAACCAGGAGGTCATGGCGAGCACCCGGCTGCGTAAAATGCTAGACCGGGTGCAACGCTACTTGTCCCTCAAAAAGAGTTTACAGGATGGTGTCGCATGCTACGCCACGGTTCTCGCGGGTGTTCCTGCCGCGGACCTTATGGCGCGCGGACAATTTCCGCTGGATGGAAGACGCCCGCATAGAGGAGGAGAAGGGGGAGCGCCTGTTTCCTCGCGTTATCGAGACCGTTAGAACCGTGACGAACCACCGGGTCATCGAGGCGAGGTCACGCGTGGCGAGAGCGCCTAGACGCGGACCCGGTGACTTTCACTATCAGGATACCGACTGTCAGTCCCCACCTAAAGGAGTGAAAGAGAGAAAGAGCATGGTGCTCTTTTCTACCATTTGTTACAAGTGCTCATCGGGCATGGCTGCTTCGGGTACCTGCACAGAATAGATAAGAAGCCGACCACGGGCTGTCACCACTGCTAGAATAGACTCGGCGTCGCACACAGTGGAGCAATGCTCGAACGCGTCTCTCGCTGCAGCAATCGGGGAAGACTTCTCACCGCCAACGTTGGTTACGGCTATGTTGCGTGGCAAGGGGGAGTGGAAGGCGGTCTCCTTCTGCGAAACAGTTATGCTTCAAAAGGAGGAAGCCAAGAGAGAGAGAGAGAGACCGGATTAAAAGAAGGCCCACTCATCGAAGGAGGGGTGCAAGTGCGCGGTCGCGGTGGCGCTCGCGCTGCAGTCTTTACACGTGCCGCGCTTGGTGCTCCCGCACCTCAAGCGGCTATCTTGTATCATATTATCATCTGCGGTCGAGGCAGTGACGGCTACTGCGAATCGGGGGAGAGCAAAGACAGAGTCCTCTCTACCAGATCCACCGCCTCCGACGAGAGGCCTAATCCCTCTCTGTTAAAGAAATGAGCCCGGTGGGAGTCATGCTTGATACTTGCCGAGCGAGAATCCAGTCGGCTCTGCCCCCCGCTCACACCGAGGCGAGGGTCTGGTGTCCCTCCTTGCTTGTGGGAAAGTCAATGCC